CATATATACAATCTTATATACAAACCAATGGGGCACTAGTTCATAAAGTCATTACAGATGCGAAGGAGCAGTGTAGGGTACAGTGGTTGTTAAAAGTATCGAGAAGGTGACAAGAGACTCCCCTTTTCAGTGTAGTAATAATAATGATGACAGTGTTTCTACATGCTTTTGTTTGGTTCAATCATGTGTGAACTGAGAGCAGAGCTGCAGTTTTTCCATCTCACTTCTATGACAGCTACAAAATACTGCTCTTGTAGAAAGGTTTACGGTCTCCACTGTTTGTAGATGGCCACTTTGATCCCTCAGCAAAAACACTTAAGGCTGTGTCAAGTTATATGAGCCATTAATAATGCTATAATGTGCTTTCACTTGTTGTTTGAATTACACACCACTGTAGTTGTCAATATGTGCATTACATGAATTTATGAATTAAGCTTTTGAGGACAATAAAGGTTATTACTAAGAAGCACATAACAAAATATAGGTTCTACAGTATGTACTCAGTTTCTTTTAAAGAGTTTAAAAATGTGGTAATTTTTCTATGAATGAATGACTGGATTCACAACAGAAGAGTATGACTTGTGTGTATCCTTCCTAAAAAATTGGAAAGACATTACATTTGAACTGGAAATCTGTAAAATGTAATCATATTTGTTCATTCCAAACATAAATTAAAGGGAAAAAAGAAGTATCAAATAACAATAATGTGTATGCATTTTGAAAAGAATTTATATGGTATGCATCCAAATTGAGCCAACATTGCAATACTTGGACAACTAGTATTTACTACTAAAACTGTAGTGTGACTATTCAATATACCCAATTCAAATACAATGTAAATCAACAAAATAGTTGTAGTAGAAGTGGTGATTGATATTACAGCCATTTATAAACATACTGGAGGTCTTTCTGTTGGCATTATTGCTTTGAAATCGCAAAGGGCCATAGTAGTCAGTCTTGCTTTTGCTGTGGTGTGTCCTCAAGTTAAAAATATGAGAGTTTGAATCTGGAAAATGGATTATGCTTGTCTGTAATATGGTCAGTGTTTTGTTTTTTTTTTTTTTGTTTTTTCAGTTTTATGGTAAAGGGAATGTTAAATAAAATGACATGTCTTTGACCATCTTATGAATATATTTAAAAGTCAAACAACAAAAGCTTTTTCTAACAGATATCAAAATTAAGTTAAAGTTTTAAACCTTATTACCAAATTACCTTTGAGCATTAATGACCACAGTGGACGATTGCTTCTTCATGAATAGGAGCCCATTTAGGAGGATGGCCCTTGCAGCTATTAGGGCAGTGGTGGGCCTCTCTCTGCCCCAGCGCAATGACTATGAATGGGCCTCCTCTCTCCCGCCGTGTATTCCTTGTCTGGCTTCAATACACAAGTGGTCCACACAGCATCGACCTGGGGCAGACAGCAGAGCGAGGGAGAGTCAGAGAGAGGGCCAGTCCCTATCACATGGAAAAGAGGTTATATGTATATGTTCATGGAATGGATTTTTGGACAAAATGCCAAAACTGTCAGACTGTTCATGTCGCATTGTATACTGTTTTAAGACCTTAATGACGAGGTTCTGACAATAAAAGAGTTGATAGAGAATAAACATAAGTGGTATTGTGACAGTCAGAAGAGCCGGAAGAGCCTCCTGGAGAACTTTCCTTAGGAACGGTGGCTACAGTGTTAGTTATGCAATATTCTGTATGAATGTGTTCAATTTGAGGAAGGGAAACAAGAGCACAAGATGTGAGAAGAAACCCAGATGTCACAAGAAAAGACTTCTTCAAGTAAAGTGACAGTTCATGGTCACCAAGCCTCTTGACACCCAACTTACAAATTTTATCACTATAGGAAATATAATTAGTGAATTTAAGCAGTTTTTGTAATCAAAAACAATTTTAAGATAAAAGGTCTGTGCAGAAAAATGTTTCCATGGGCATGAACACATACTAAGTTAGTTATGAGGGGAAAAACAATATTGGATGATATCTAGTGTTTTTAAGTATTTTCAGGCTGAGTTAAATCACGGGTCAAATTTGACCCGGTAACACTAAAGACGCGTGTAGCTTTCTAACACAATACAAGGGTTAAATCTTTCTATATTCGTGGAGACCATACCAGGCTACAGGTTACAGGTCAGATCTGTGGAGAGGCGACCACGCTCACACTCAGAATGCCTGTTTTTGTAGGTATTTTTGAGTAGCAAAACCACCTGTAATTAAATAAATGTAGAGTCGAGATTTTTCATGTCATATTGTGGAACGTTCCAGGCAGAGAAGAGACATATCAATAGAAACAAGCAGGTTATGGACTCCCAGTCAAAAAGTTACATCATGCACCTTTAACTACAGGATTAAAAGTTAAACAAACAGGTCTAGATCAAAGCAGTAATATTCTTCAAGCAGTAATTTTATGGACACTTTACACCCTTCCATTAATGTGAAGCTTTGGTCCATATTTGTTACCTCTAATGATGCTTAATAATTGGGTTTGAAGGTGGATTTGCTTGTGCCTGTGTTTGCATAAAGATGACTAATGACTTCTACACTACGAGGATAAATTATGTGAGGAAATTATCATGTGAAATTAAATATATAAAAATTAATTGTTAAACAGAAACAAAAACAAAATATACTGTATAAGTACGATATTCATGAGTATAGTATTAAGAAAACACATTTTGATATTTTGTACTAAAGACCAAAACATATACTTACATTTGTTTGAACTATTGCTAAAACTTATGAAACTGGCTTGTATAATTATGCCATATTTGACACACTATTTTTGATACTTATTTTTAAAAAATTACCATTTATATTTTTTGCGCTTTATTAAAATAGCCTGTTTATTGTAATATGTGAGCCACTTTGTCCAAATAATTTCCCTTGTAGAGCAATAAAGTTTGTCTAGATCTAAATCTGAAATATTCTGGAAAAAAAAAATGAATGAAACCAACATTTTCCTTTAATTCATATCTTAATTTGAGTCTAATGTAACTGCAAACATTAGACTGTTGGACGTGGGCACGTTATTATGACCCTTATAGAAAAGTAAACAGCGTCTGGAGTGGGTGGTCTTGGAAACCCCATCAGAAGAACCAGGGTCTTTGTAGCGAGCGACTCAACATCGTCTGTGTTTGCCCTCTTCATTAGACATTCTCCCGCGAATAAATAGGGCCCCGCGCGGTCAAAAGAGCTGGCGACTCGCTACGTGCTTTAAATGTGTTTTAACAGTTACTTAAAGGGCCGCGGACGCATCTCAGCCGCTTAACAAACGATGGAAATGAGCCCGCGGAGTTTGCAGAGCTGGTCATAATCCCAGTTGAAAGAAAGTGGCGCTTTGTCCCGATGCTGTAAGAAGCAAATGACTTCCTTCAACTTCAAAACACGGCCCACAAACCAGCGGCCTTTTAGCGCTTACAGTTGAGATTTAGGATTTACGCACGTATCCAGATGCTATATACGCACTTAAACGGGGGAAAGGCAGTTAAAGAAATAATTATTATAGGGAACGTGACTGAGATATTGTTCGGGACATGACCAGTTTAGGGCAAGTGTCCACTCAAGTTCATTTGGATCAAAGCCGCACTGGAATTACAATGCACAATACAATGGCCCATTCACAGGAGCGCAATTTACACGTCACATGAACGTTTAATTTAAATCTTTAACTTTCTCTCATCTCTCATTAAGATTGTTAATGGTATTTAAGTATTCTTCCATCTTTGAGGCAGCCTAGAGCTGTACATAATAAAGACATTTTAAAGTAAAATGTTGGACTTGGTTCATTTTAGACCTTTATGAGTTTCCTTTGTATTTCTCAAAGTGCTAAAATTTGCATCACTTAAGTCCAGTCACCAAAACCAGACATGTCCAGTTTTGGTGCGAGATTTGTTGGAGCTTGTACACAGCATTTCTATTTGACGAGGACTGATCAAATGTATCCAACATTTAAGTTTGATTTAATAATGAAACGAAATGCATTTAAAAATAAACCTTTTCCAAAAATTAATTGTATAAAAACCTGAAACAATAATTCTAAACAAAAATATCGGACTTGTTATTTTAAAAGACCACAGCCACCGCGATCAGCTTTTCTGTTTAGGAGAATAAGTTGTGTGCGTAAAGCTGGATAGATAAGGGCACGTTTGCTTGTGTAGGCCATTATCGTTGGTACATAGTTAGCGGGATTTATCACTGTGATTTCTGTTAAATTTTACGATAAGAGTTGATTAATCTCTAGTTTCGGATGTAAAACTAAGTCACACCAGCATCCCCAGAGTGAGAATCGCGTGTGGATTAACGCTGACATTGAGTAAACGTGAAAAGGGCCGCGATGGTAGAAGTGCACGCAGCCGCCGGGTTTCACGCCTCCATTACGGCCCAGTTCGAGAAGCCACACTGCCGCTGTTAAAACCCACACTCTGCTAAAAGCCACGCTGATTTGATACAGGAAAAAGATTATGGACTGTTTGCGTAAAGGAGTGATTCTTTATTTGCAACTAGCTGAGAGAAATGCATGGATGGCCACACTAAAACTATCCAGTACAATTCTTAATTCTTAACAATAGCCTACATAAAACTACAGTAACGTCTTTATTGTGAGAAGTCGATGGTCACGCTCCTAAGAGCATCTGCGACTTAAAAGAGACCAGGAACTAAGATGATTTGGCAACATCAAGGGTTTCTCAGCGGTAATGATTACATTTGGACTTAAGATCCATGCAAAGAATTTGTAGCCCAATAAATCCCCCTGTAGCCCCCACTGCTCAGGGTCTCTTCAAAAGCACCAGGCTACATTCAAAGGCGGAGGATGTTTGACTATCCCAGCTTGTACTACTTCTCCACCAATTAATTGGATACGTCGGGATGTGCGCCTCTCACAAGTGCTACTTAGAAAGACAATAGGCTGGTTGGGGGCTGTTGACACCTCCGCGTCCGGGCGCTCTATAAAAGAGGAGGGTCCCGGTCCAAAGTCATTCAGCGTTCAGCTTTTCTAGGAGCAACACCTCCACTACAACCACTGAGAACTTAATTTGGCTTTTTGGACTCTGCCTCAGGATGCAGGCTAACGGATACGTGCCCCTCTACTACCAGAGCAGCCCGTGCTCTGCACCAACAAAACCGTCCTCTGGAAAATCTTTTACAATCGACGCGCTTTTAGCTAAACCGGACCCCCTCCCAAGCAGTGACCGGGCTAGTCCCGTGTCCTGCGGGGTCAAATACCCAGCAGCTCCCGCCGCTACAATGCCTCTCGCTGGAACTATGTCCGGAGCGCCCTACGTCTATTCTCACAACGTGCTGCACCCCGCAGTGCACACGCAGCCCGGATACTCCGTCTACTGCTGCCCTCCGTACACGTACGGAGCATCGTGCCGCAACACCTTTTACGCACAAGGTCTGTTGAGTTTCACAGTATTTGTCTTTTCTCCTTTCGACTTATTCATTATGTATATATCTGTTGTATTTGGCAGAGATGTTAATCTTCTCTTGTATTTTCAGGTCCAATGTCCAAAATGAGCCCCAGTCTGCACTCCTTCAAAACCAAAGGGGGAAAGTCCAAGCGCCTGCGCACCAGCTTCACCAGTGAGCAGCTGTCGCGGCTGGAGAAGGAGTTCGCCCGGCAGCAGTACATGGTGGGCTCAGAGCGGTTCCTGTTGGCCTCCGCGCTGCAGCTCACCGAGGCCCAGGTCAAAGTCTGGTTCCAGAACCGACGCATTAAGTGGCGCAAACAGAGTCTGGAGCAGCAGCAGGCCAAACTAGCCAAACTGGGCCTGGCTCCGCCCAAAAGCCCCGGCTCCCAGGGCAACGGAGATGAGGGCGACGACTTCTCAGACTCCTCAGACGTTGATATCGATGTTTCAGACGACTGCATCGACCACTGCTGATCCTGTGATCTGCTCTAAAGACTTTGTACATAGCGGCACATGAACTATTTAATAGATGTATAGTTTATTTAATTTGTACTTTTACTGCTCTTTGAAGGGTCCACTTGATGCATTTTTGTAAATGGCAATGGAATATTCAGAAATATATTTTATGATAACATATCTTCTGTCTTTTGATTCATTTAAGATAAGAGGCCTATATATAATGGGTATTTTCAGTGTAACAATTCAGTTAAATTACACTTTTACTAGAATACTTTTTACTTTTACTAGAAACTTTACATTATACAAGTTAAACACATGCCCTGTTGAGCACAATGCAGTTTAGTCTAAGTTTGACCATGCTAAAAATCTGATACAATGCAAAAAGAACCAAAAGCACTATTACGGAGTCCATTGTTCTACAATTGTCACACATGATCATAAATGTGATGTAATATTTTCTGGGGCAGGGTCCTATAACGCTATGGGAGCTAACTGTTTTGAAAGAAACACTCCACAAACTTGTCAAATCTGACTTAACTAGGAGACTCCAGATTTGTTGACCTGGATACGCTTACTGTGCACATGTGTGTTCACATGAAGCAAATACTGGCACAAAACACAACAACTGATTGTTGCCATAAAAGATTCATATTCTGGTCTGTTCTCAGGTCAGTTTTAAACTAGAGGTATTGTAGAGTGTTATGATGTTATAAAAACATAGACTATTCACTTCATCTGTTGAAGATATTACACTGGTCACTAGGCCTGTTACGATACCTTACAATAATTAACTACTATACTGACCTATCTTCAATAAATACAAAATATGCAATATTTTTGGGCTCAACATGTATTGTCTGTACATTTTATTTGGACTTGTGGGGTACCCTTTTGAAATTTGAGTTGCATGAAGGTAGAATAATATATGTTCATGAGTCTTTACTGATACCAGTTATCTAATATGTTTCATTGTGGTATTATTGCAGACAATTTCTTTACAATATGGTTTAAATCTTTTATTGCTGCTAAAACCGTGTTGTTTATTGCAATATTTTAAGTAATTGAAAATTTTTATTGTGCGAGGTCTACTGGTCATATCCAATATATTTCCATTTTGTGTATGCAAATTTAATATGAAAACGTAATATTAACACTTTTAATATGACGTAAACATATACAAAAGCAATGACTTCTTTGAATATATTTGATTACCTATTCTTAAAAACAAACAAACACCTTCTTCATAAAACAGTGGTATGTCAATAATGGAAGTTAGATTTTCTCCAGTGCAATCCTCAGCATGACCTTTGACCTGTTAGTATTACTCTATGGCTTCATTTCCTCTGTGGTTTGATCAGGGCCTAAACGTGACGCCTGCCGCCACCTGTGACGAAGCGATCCAAACTGAGCAGCGTTTGTGAGATTAGAAAAGCCTGTAACCTCGGGAGGCTGTGGTCAGTCTGTCTGCTCATTGTATAATCTATTTAAACAGCCACTACGCCTGTTATCAATGCTCGAACATATAAAAAGGTCACAAATGCCCACTCAGAACAGGCAGGTGTCCTATCCTCTCCCATTGATTCTCCACAGGTTTCCCCGTCTGGCAGGCTGTGTGGATGAAGCAGTCAGAAGGCAGCGTGGTGAAAGGATTGCGATGTTCCAAATGAGTCCATCAGAGCAGCTAATTGGGCTGGTGAACCTCAAAGCTCCTTCCTGTGGCTAACGCTAAACAAAAAAGATCCCTGCCTAATCCGTAAATCCTAATGCTACTATATGTGATACATTTTAGTGTTTCAATGAGCCTTGTCAGCTTCATCAGTTGAGAAGTAGCTGCATTTGCTAAAGTAATGACTTCCATTACAATGCACTGACATTAGAGGTGGACAGATTATTGAAATATAACAATAATATGACTGTTTTTTATTTTATATTGAGTATATTGTATAAGAAATGCTGCAAAAAGAGCTGATTAACCAAAATGTAAAAGTCTAATACTTAAACATCAACAAATACTTTTACATGTACATCCCTAACTGATATAAGTTTAATACTGATCTAAGTATAAATTTGATCCACACTATAACAGATTAAATAAAGGTTTGGTTTGAAACAACATACTAGATATTACTTTAGATGTTGGGAAAAGGTGCAGCAGGTGATCAGACTATGGCAAAGTATGGCCAACACAAACCTCATTAGAGCTAACCACTCTGACTCTCTACACATTTTCCTCCAATCAAATCAGTGTACAATGACATTAGATAATTCCTCCAGAAAACAAGCAGCAGTAGTGAAAGGCCTAGTGAGACAACTGCCTGAGGAATGTTCTTGCTGAGTTTGTTTTTTTAATAAATCCAGGCTTTACTTTAAACAAACCTTTGTTAAAGCTCAGAGCATAATCCACCAAACCAAAACACTTCAACATGAAGAGCAGCTCACAGTGAAGCAATGTACGCAGCCCAAAGCCTCTCGTGAAACAGGCAATCTGATTATGCCATATCAAAGCTCTGCCAGATACAGTGTGTTCAAACAAATGGGCTTACAGAACACTGAATCAAATGAAAATGCTGAAAAAGACAATGGATCCTGTATTGGAAAAGACAAAGCAGTGTGAAATGGGGGTGAAGAGCGGGGAGGGGGTATTCAGCAAAGAACCTGGTATACGTGCTGTGTCTTAGATCTCTCAATTACACCACCAGATTTTCCTAAACAGTTTTATTAGTGGGTTTTAAAATGATGAAACATTAACTGTTGCCACAGTGTTTAACAACTAAATATTATCTCTCTTGAATAGCTAAAAGTCCTCAAAATGGCACCCATAGACAGAAAACTGAAAGCCATGAGCAGAAGTGTAAAGGCAAGATCAGTTGAATGAATAAGGCCCTTGTGACCAACCTTGTAGAGCACATGCCATGTCCCAGAAACGCCTTGTGCTCCATGTTTCCGTGTTGCCGTTCAGCTGTTATCAGAGAAACACAATATATTTAAAATGTGATTAATGCTCTCACAGTATATAGTTGCATGTATTTATACTGGCAGTTCATCACTTTCTGCTTTGTTGTGTTAATTAAAAAGTACTCACAATAAATACTGTCCCCCCCCAAAAGTATTCTTCCATCTATCATTTACTGAACGATAAGTCCATATATTTATCGGTACAGGCCAGCAAGCATTGGACAATTTGTAATAATGGTTATATTATTATATTAAGAGATGATGCAGTTCAATAAATTCATTCATTTCGAATAGTGAAAAATTAGCACTTAAAAAATGTGTATATCTTTTAAAGGTCCAATATTAAACAAAATTGAATCTTGTGAGCTTAAATCAGGTTACATATAGTATTGTTTCCTCCTCAAAAACATACTTGGAGTTGTGCTTTATTTTATTCATAGATTAGAGTTACACTATATCCAAATCATTCTAGTGAAAGTATTGAGTTTAAAAACACAATGGAGCACTTCCCATATTACCACATGACATCACACAGTGGAACAGAGCAAGAACTCAGCCTAAATATGCAGGGTTTGTGTGTTAAACATGTGTAAATGAAACAAAACACAACTCCAGGCATGTTTGTGATGAGAAAACAGCATTATAACACAGATCAGAAAACAGTGTAATATGGGCTCTTTAAACAGGAAGCAGAAATCCATGAACAACAGGTACTAGTATAGTGTATTTTGTCACTTGTCAGTCCTAAATGAGTAATGCAGTGTCACCACCCCCCAACTGCATTCTGTGTTCTGATATGATGGGAGCCCCCCCCCCCTCTCTCCCGGCAGCTCCACGTAATCCCATTGAGGAACAGAGAGACACAGTGAGAGCTCTGGGAAAACTTGATGGTCCTGGGAGGAGGGGGTCACTGGCTTCTCGTCCCAATTAGCACCAGGACATCTGAGAGGCTGGAGATAGGTTTGTGAAGGCTTTCTCTAGGACTGAGAGAAGCTGATTAAGTCTGGTGACGTCTTCATTTACGAGAAAATCAAGAGAGACGGTTAAACTTTAAAGTGCCCATATTACACTATTTTCTGATCTGTTAAAATGTTGTTTCCTCATCACAAACATACCCGGAGTTGTGTTTTGTTTTATTCACACAAAACTGCATAATTCAGGGTGAGTTCTTCTCTCAAACAGAAAACACTCTGTTCCACCTTGTGATGTCATGTGGTAATACAGGAAGTGCGTCACTGAGTTTTAAACTCCATACACCTTCACTAGAATCATTTGGATGATTTCAGTCTTTGGAGAGATAACACGGCTTAAAGAGTAAATTTTGTGTAGACAGGACAATTAAAAATGTACTTAGAATCACAAATAAGAAAAAGAGAATAAATGGTAAAACCAAAACCAAAAAATGGCTATAAAATAAAAAAATGAATACAAAACTGCAAAATAAAACAAATGTCTAGGCCAGTACTTCTCTCAAACTGTGATACAAGCTCATTCCTTCCTCTGCAGTTCAAATGGATTGTTCCCACAGCTCTGTTCACATGTGTTTGGTTGTAGGGCAGTGGCAGGTTCTGGTTTGGTTTTGAAATCCAGTTTAAGGTTAGGGCCAGGGTGACAGTTATGGTTTTACTTCAGAAATATCTTTTAAATGTAAAACAGAGCCATGAGAACATACATTGATGTTAAAATACTGGCAGAATTTAGAATCACGTCAATGTATGCTGTCGTTCTCCTTTGGGGATAGTCCTTAATTAGTTTAGTATAGCTATTGTGAAATCCTGATTTAGCCCTAGTTTGGCTTAGTTTATATAGTCATATTATCATAGATAAAACAAATAAACTAATAAATACATAATTTTGGTGTTATCTAGACTATGTAAGATGTAGGGAAATGAAATAGAGTGCAAAGATGACATTTTTTTTGACATTATCTGTTACATAGGAGTGAGTTATGGTACATCTCTATTGTGTATCATATGAATATAGGCCTGTATTATTTCTTAAATAGTAGTCTATCAATAGAAAGTTATTTTAATTCTTTTGTATATATCAAACAGGTGTGA